TTCTGCTAAGATTAATATTTGAGAAATTAATAGGCACATAACGGTAAGATGAATTGTGATACCTGCATAGTTTCAGTACCTACAGAAGTACTTTCATTTTAAAACTAATACAATAATGAAGTATAGCTGCCCTGTGAAGCCAAATTCTATAAAAGTTAAGAAACCTTTGAAAATGTGGGAATCTCTGGATTTAAATGATTTCCAACAGATGCTTAATTTCTTGCATCTTATATGTATGGAACTCCACAGCTCGCCTGAGCATCTGTTTCGTTCTACTTTTAAGAATCCTTCCTGATATATGCACCTAATATGCTTAGACTTTTGTTATCAAAACAAAGCTGAAGTTTAAGCAGACTATGGTTTTTCATCATTCTTTTTTGTAGTTACCTAGTGTGAGCCAAGAGACCTTAAAACACAGTGGAATTGGAAGAGCAGTGATGTATCTCTACAAACACCCAAAGGAATCACGGTCCAACAAGGATATGGCAGGAAAGCTAATTAGTAAGTAAACTAATATACTGTACGCTACTGAAAAATAAAATTCATTATAAAGTCCATCACCTGACAAAAATTAAAATAAAATAACATAAATTAAAATAATCTACCTATCCCAGGTCTTTGGGAAGGACTTGATAAATGGATAAAAATGCCAAATCCTGTCTGAACATCTTGTTGTGTGAAAACTATACAAATAATAATTAAAAAATTAATTAATAAAAAAAGAACAAAAAAGACCCCTCAAAGCAGACTTGATGAATCACTAGGTCCTTTTTTCTACTATCAGTTTTCTATGTTTCTAAAATAGAAAATGCTACCAAACATTCCTACTGTTGAATATGTGATGCAGTGCTTTGCAATCTTATTTATTTTAATTGCATTTTCAATATTTTATTTTATTTTTTGAAAATCATTTTTATGTTTCATTTTGTTTGTGTTTGGGAATTCAGGTAAGTGTTTGCAAGATTACTACTGATAAATGCAGGCTTAAATATACATAAAACTTGCATATTTCAGTTCTTTAAACTCATCATTAAGTGAGGGGCCTAAACTACAGCTGTCTTAAATATATGTCAAGCTGGTATTGTGTTTTTATACATGTGCTGATTTTAACAGTAACTAAAATGTATATTTTTCAGTATTTATGATACTTTTAAAAGCTATATTTTCAGATTTAATTAAAGGAAACTATAACTAAATTTGTTAAATTTAGTTTAACAAATTTGTTAAAATAATTTAGTTTTGTTCTAAGGATACTCATCCTTTGTTAATTTAAATGGACTAAAATCTCTGTTTAAGGTTAAGCAGTTCAAGTGGCTATCAGAAGTCAAGTTTCTTATTGGATAGATACTGGGTATATGCTGTTGGTTACTTTTACTTAATTAACTTTGTCCTCTTTTTTAATAAAACTAAACAGATGAATGGTCCCGGCCCATTTTTGGTTTAACATCAAACTATAAGGGAATGACCAGAGAAGAAAGAGAACAGAGAGATCTGGAGCAGATGCCTCAGCGAAGGCGATTGAGCAGGTAAGTATCTTATACGAATATATAATGCCTTTAGTGTTTCGATTCCAAAAGCTATGTAGTGATTTCAATTATGTATAATTTAAACAATAATCAAAAAAGTTGCTGCACGTAGCCTTCTAGAGTCTCTTCCCTGGAATGTTTTGGAACTTGTCATTCAGTTTGTAAAAGTTTTGATCTTATGAAAGTACTATTTATTTTCAAAAACCTTTCCTTTGCTTCTTCCTGAAGCATTCTTCCTTAGGAGCATTCTTGTTCCTGTGAGTTGCAATTTGCCGAACATGATTTATGTATTATTATATGTTTTTTTTAATTTTGATTTATAGGAAAGAGACTATTTTGATTATGATTTGTTTACTCATCTTTGGTAGTACTAACCATCCTTCTTTTGTTTTTGCAGCTCTGGTGGTCAGACACCCCGCAGGGACTTGGAGAAAGTATTAACAGGAGAGGAAAAGTATGTGGGACTGGTTCCTCAAATATCATTTTGATATCTCACAATTTCATTCTGTGCTTTGTAATGAAGAATTTTGAGCTTTTGTGGGACAAAAAAGCCAACTGATGAGATTGAGAGAGATTCTTAAACACCCTCATGTTATTTAGCAGTACCTTTGTTATATTTTTTAGAGCTCTCCGACCTGGTGATCCAGGATTTTGTGCTCGTGCCAGAGTTCCAATGCCCTCCAATAAGGATTATGTAGTGAGGCCAAAATGGAATGTAGAAATGGAGTCCTCTCGGGTAAGTGGCTAATGGAAAAAGAAGACATTCAGTAACATTGAAATTACATCTCTTGTAAGTTAGGTGTTGCAGGATTCACTTAAATTGTTCTTCACTGTTCCTCTCCATCAGTATCGTTTCCAGAGCTTCATCCATGTACTTCATAAAGCTTTAAGAGGCTACTATTCTGTCCGTTGTGAAAATGCAACCTGTATATTTATCAACCATTTTATATTGCTGCTCTGGCTATGACCTTGGAGATATTTGCACGAACGGTTCTTTTTCAGTCCAATCCCATAATTATCCCACAAAGCTTGCAGATGACTTTCTTTGCGCCATCCTTTCATCACAGTATGAGATGAAAACCATTCATCTCTTCTGACTTTTATTTTTTTATATGTGAAACAAGGCAAAGAAAAAGAGTGTTAAGTGATTATGTTGTCTGTTATCAGTAGTCCATTCTTTAATTTCTAGCCCGGGACTCTTAAAAAAGGTATTAATCATCTGGAAAAACACAAGAGGCGATTTACTGAACAGAAACGTCTCAGTAAAGTGCATCGAGCTGTCAAGTTCAGCATTGAAGGCAACCGGATGCCCTTGTAGCCTTATATTTCACTTGTCCCTGATCCAAGAGGTATCCCTGAAAGAAAGTGTGAGCTGTGCATGTGCTGTACTGCTTGCCATTGTTATCCATTTAGACAAAAGAGCATGTCTTCACCAACTCAGAAGTTTCATTAAAGCTTTCTGATCAGGGAAAATAACTAATATATTGGGGTTTGGGTTTTTTGAGGTTTTCAGGGTTTTATGACTGGAAAACTAAAAAGAGTTGACATTTAAAACTAGGCTGCTTTTCAGCAAGGATACTAACAGCAATTTTACATACCATTTTCTTGTGGTGGTGAGCTTTCCACATGCCCAACTTGTTGCTTTTACTATATCCTAACAATTCTTACCAATCCAGCTCATACTAATTCCAGGTGAGTAGTCCAATGTCAGTTCTGCTTGTTTCTGGAGCTGTCTTGAGTCCTGTCTTCGGTCGGCTATCTTCCCCTAGAAGTCCTGGGAATTCACCTCACAACTCAAGATCTTTTACATCAGGAGTGTCAAACTGCTGGCCCGCGAGCCGGTTTCATCATACCGGAGCCGCGCCCACCCCATTGCCGGCAATGGCAAAAAAAGCTCCGATACGTCGCGCGATGTCATGTGACGTCGCGAGTTTGACATGCCTGTTTTACATGATTTTGTAAAAGGTGTAATAAAGATTTTGTCCTAATATAGATTTTGAAATATTTTCTATGGATGATGCAGCATTTTGATTCTTGTTTTATTTTGTTCTATATGTTGTCATGAATGTGTAAGCTAAATTTGTAAAACATTTCTCATGAAACTGTTTAATAATATTCTTTGATTTGCCGGGTAGCTACTTATTATGTATACTAGGGACTTTCATGGTTTTGAATCCCATTCACATGCAGAAGTGGCACAGTGGCCTAGAGGTGCAGATCCTCGCCTCACAATCGGGAGATTGAAATTTCAATCCTAGGCAGCGACTGATGTTTCTCTACCAGGGCCCAAAGAGAAAATATCTGCTGCGAACTCCATATAGGTGTCAGGAAGGGCATCAGGCCAGGAAACACGCAGCTCTGTTCAGTCACCCCGACTCCACCATTGATAAAAGGGATTGCAGGGTCGTACAAAGGAAAAAAAATCTCAATTCACATGCAGATTCAGGCGTTATTATTACTAATTTCAATAGACATTTCCAAAGGGAAGCAGGAGAGAAAAATATAGCTGTTTGGGAGAAAGATTGCTCAACAGATAATGCTATCTCCTTCGAAGAGTTTCTAGTCACCTATTGTGGGACAGAAAATTGCCAGTTGAAAGAAATCCAATGGGTGGTGATGCATCATAAACATTTCCTTTTTCTCGTCCTCGCTGTTATATTTTCCATATTGTACAGTATTTACCAAGCCAATCTGCAAAAGACTGCAGATTAAAGTAGATTTTTATTTGTTTTAATAGACAACAAGAATCCAAATAAATCCAGTACAGGAAAAATAACTTGGTTTTTAACATAGTATTAAACCTTGAGAACATAGGGTAATTATATCAGTAATCATTTTTAAGCAGTGAATGAACATGCGCATTTATTATGAGAATAGCCAGAATTATAAGTTAATCACAGAATCTTCTAAATATTTCTTGCTACCTTTAATGCTTAGAAACAAGACTAAATGTTAAATTAAAAGAGGAAAGTAAACCTTGCCTAAGATATTAGAGGGAACATTTAATGGATTTCTTATAATGTCGTTAATGTTCCTGTGAACTCTCCCTTTTGCACATTCCAGTGATGTATGGAATACTTGTTTCCTATCCGTCTCTTATGAACGAGGTCTATGTGAATAGCCGAGCTAATGCTTGAGTTTTAAATCCACGGTCTGGATTCCAAACTTCAGCAGTAATTGAAGAATTGTGTCCATTTTGATAAAAAGCAACACTTTCTTTTGTATATCTTTAATGTACAGTACATCTCTAGACAGTATTTGAAAATAAGCTATTGAGAGTCCCACACAGTGTTACTAGTTTCTGTAATGAAAGATAGCAACTGCAACAAGGGATGGTATATGTATGTTTTTGTGGTTTATAAATATCAAGATGTCATTGATGACTGTTCTAATACTAAATAAAAGGTTTTTTTCAAGTTCCAGGCAAGTTCCAAGAAAGGGGTCAGTCGCCTGGACAAACAGATGCGGAAGTTCACAGACATCAGGAAAAAAAGCAGAACATCCCATGCTGTAAAAATCAGCATTGAAGGAAATAAAATGCCATTGTGACCTTCCGCAGAATCACCTTTGATGACTCCTGTATAGACTCTCAGAAGATGTCCACATTTTTTTAAGAAGCAAACTTTGGGGGTTTTAAGTGCATCTTCAAATTGTTGGTTCAGTTGATTGTAATACATGTAAGAGTTATGAACCCTGGGACATTGTTCATTATGGTTTTATTTAACCCCGATTTCTCGTCTCCTTTGTACAGACAAAACCTTGTATTGCTGCAAATCTCATACATTAAAATCTGTTTCTGAGATGGGGTTTGTGTGATGTTTTGTGAATTGAATATGTATGTAGAAGTTTTACTATTCTTAAGTCTCAAAGAATACAAGAGCTATGATTATATTTTTATAATTAGAGGTAAAGTGTGTGTGTCCTCTGTTTACATATGTAGATTTCTGTTAATTGACCAAATAACACCATGATAAGGAACCTTTTTCTTTAAAAAAATACAATTTTTACTTTGGGACAAATATATCACATTTTAGAAGAGAAAGAAAACATATTAAACATTTAATATGCTTATATCATTGGGTTTAAGAGTCTTCTGAAGCCTTATAATCTCTTTCATCTCTTCTATAAATGTATTGTCATTTATTTTAATGCTCATCAAAGAAGGAATGCATTTAAGTAACAATAGTTGGAAGTAATGAAATTCTACTTCATATTATAGAGCAGGGGTGTCAAACTCAATTTCATTGAGGGCCGCATCAGCATTGCGGTTGCCCTTGGAGGGGGCAGGGGGTGTAGCCAGGGTGGGTGCAGCCTACTAGCTGGGCGTGGATGGACTGGGTGTGGCCTACTGGGTGGGCGTGGCCAGCTCTACATCAAGCCGGATATGTGAAGTAGGTGAGGGCCATTTGCTGGCCACTTCCAGGCGATGGTGCATTTCTTCATTCCTTACAAAGGGTGACACCTCCGCAGCATGCACCCAGGGGGCGGGGCCGATGCGGCAGGGGCTGGTTCTTCACTGTTTCCAGATGACCTTGTGGAGCTAAGACTGACTGCGTTTCAGCATAGATGGCCACCACAAAATTGTACATTGGCTTCCGGCTGGCCTGGGCCAGGGCCAAGGCAGTGGGGGCCGTTCCCTCACTGTTTTCAGGATGACTTCGCGGGGCACATGAAACCACTTCGCGGGCTGCATCTGGCCCCTGGGCCTTGTGTTTGACATATCTGTTATAGAGTCAGCCAGATGTTCAGATTGGATTTTATCCATATATCAAGTCCTCAGGAATCTGGGATAGGCAGCTGTTAATATTGATGGTGTTAGAAGTATTATCACAGGATATAAGCTGTTCCAAACAAAGCTGCCTTTTGCAATTGCCTGATGGCGATTATTAAAATAGAACCATCTGGAGTCATTAATATGGTTAGGATCACAATAGGAATATGGATTTATTGAAATTCCTGCAATCTGTTTTTGCTGTCTAATGGCATTCTGCTGAGCTGATACTCAAAATTAGGCATCCACTTATAAGAACAATGATGAGAACAGAGGAAAGGAATATGCTGTTTATTAAGAATGAATATGACTTAAACACAAGAGCTTAGAACTACCATAGATATTAGTGGTAAAGTAAAAGAAATAAAATATACGCTGTATATTTTTCTTTAAATACCCTAAGGTAAGACTTGAACTCACAGCTTTTCAGTTTCTACTCTGGTACTTCACCACTATACCAAATTGGCTCTCTTTAATCATATTAGTCTACAATCATTAAAGAATGTGATGTGAGGAGGTTCAGTGGGAGGAGGTTCTTTAACTCCCACTTCAGGGAGCAATGATAGCAATCTATAATTATATTCCTGTTGGATGGAACATGCTATTCAATTATTCAAGCAACTGGAGGCCCTCACTGAAAATTTTTGGTTTTCTAGCATATATCCAGATTTATTTTGCCTTTGTCCTTAGTTTTGTAGATGCTGCCTTACAGATCAGTTGTAAAAATCCTAAAGGATCTTTCCTCTTTGCTAAAATGTCCTTAAAGATTGCAAGGCTATTATATCAATTTACAGTAGAATATTTTCTTAAATTAATAAACTATGCAGCAGCTAGACTAATACGTGGGAGATAAATGAGGCTTTTAGAAATAAAAGGGTGGTGTAGAGAGAGGAGAATATAAAACAATATTTAAGAGTTAATGGTTTGCCGGAATTAAAAGAGCAGAGGGAAATATTAAATAAGGAAATAACAGCCACGGAATTAAGAAGAGCAGTGCAAAAACAAAAAAGTAACAAAACTCCGGGGCCGGATGGACTTCCAGGGGAGGTATATAAGAGCTTGTATGAGGATTTTGAAATGATATTACTAGAAGTGTATAATGATGTATTGGAGAAAGCTAAGTTACCAGACTCCTGGACAGAAGCTTATATATTCCTTATTCCAAAAGAAGGTACAGACCCTAAACAGATAAAAAATTACAGGCCAATCTCGTTGCTGAATACAGATTACAAAATTTTTACTACTATAATTGCGGAAAGATTGAAATTAATATTAAATGAAATAATACATTCGGACCAAAATGGTTTCCTACCTACAAGGCAAATCAGGAACAATATGAGAACGGTGTTAAATGTCTTAGAGTACTATGAAGCACATCCTGAAAAACAGGTGGCATTAATATTTTTGGACGCTCAGAAAGTATTTGATAATCTTAATTGGCAGTTTTTGTTCCAACAGATCAAAGATGAGATTTCGAGGGAAGTTTGAGAAAACGATAAAGGCGATATATACGACCCAAAGGTTAGAGTGATAATTAATGGGGGATAATACAGAGAAATTTGAAATAAATAAAGGAGTAAGGCAGGGATATCCAATGTCACCTCTTCTTTTTATCTTGACGTTAGAAGTGCTACTAATCCAAATTAGACTTAATGGAGAGATAAAAGGACTAAAGGTAAAGAAGAATTCAAGACGCAGGCATTTGCGGATGATCTAGTTTCTTCATAGAAGAGCTGCTAGAGACAGGAAACACCTTAATGAATGAAATAGAAAAATATGGGACAGTGGCAGGACTGAAAATTAATAGAGAAAAGACTAAAATGTTAGTAAAAAATTTAACTGAAAAACAAAAGAAAGAATTAGAAAAAAAATTGGGATTGCAAATTGAAAAAAAGATTAAATATTTAGGAATTTAGCTTACTGTAAGGTGTTCCTCAATAAAAGATGATAACTACAAAAAAATGATACAACAAATGAAAAAAGATTTAGAGCTTTGGGGAAAGTTACAGTTATCATTATTAGGAAGGATTTCAGTGATTAAAATGAACATATTGCCAAAATTATTATATTTATTCCAGACAGTCCCTATAAAATTAGAGAAGAGAGTTTTTGAAGAACTAAATAAAATAATTAAAAAAATTATCTGGCTGGGTAAGAAAGCAGAGATAAACATTAAAACACTACAAGATAGTAGAAGCAGAGGTGGCTTTGGACTTCCAAAATGGGAAATTTATTATCAAGCAGTGGGGCTACTATGGATTAGGGACTGGATGAATTTAGACAACAAAAGGGTGTTAACGATTGAAGGATACGATCTATTAGGCCGGCTGGCATGCCTTCCTATGGGATAAACGTAACAAGACATATGCATACTTTTACCGACATCAAATAAGAGAAGCGTTGATATGGACATGGGAAAAGGTCAAAAGGAAACATTATATGAAATTACCAAATTGGGTCTCACCAAAGGAGGCAACGATTTACCCGAATACATTGGATAAAAAAAGATGATAAGATACAAAGAATTATTAGATAGCCAGGGGAATCTTAAATCAAAGGAAGAACTAAAAGAACAGGGAATAATTATATACTGGTGGCCATATTTACAGACACAGTCGAGATATATAAAAGATATGGAAGAATATGGAATTCAAGGGGTACCACAACAATTGGATAGAATATTGATAGGCAAGGAAGACATTTTTTTAACAAAAGTGTATAAATATTTATTAGAGGTAGAAATGGAAGAAGAAATAGTGAAAGGTTTGATGATAGCATGGGCACGGAACGTAGGCCGAAATATAAATTTAGAAGAATGGGAAAAAGTATGGAACAAAAACTGTAAATTAACATTATCAACTGCATATAAAGAAAATCAGTACAAAATGCTTTATAGGTGGCATCTAACACCGGCGAGATTGGCCAAGATGTATACAAATATGAAACTATTGGAAGTGTAAATATAAGGATGGAACATTTTATCACATGTGGCAATGTCCTAAAGCAAGGAAATACTGGGAACAGATAAGGAGATGACTACAGGAGATAACAGGAGAACAAATTGAATTTAAAGCTGAATTATTTTTATTAGGAATAATTAATCAAAAGATAAAGAAGCAACTCCAATATATTATTGTACACATAGTAACAGCATCACGTATTGTCTATACTCAATGCTGGAAACTTGAAAATATACCAGCTAATGATATGATTATCCATAAGATATTAGAATGTGCCGAGATGTATAAGCTTACGCTAGAAATGAAAGGCAAGAAAGAAATAGAATTTTATGAGGTATGGGATAAGTGGTATAATTGGTTAGAACAGAGAAATAAAAATGTATAGCAATAAATGTAAATAACTGTAAGAGATACATGACACAGTACTGTTAAAAATGTTTATTATTATTGTTTTGTAAATTGGAAAAACGAAAAATAAAATTATAAAAAAAAAAAGAAATAAAAGGGTGGTATAGAGAGAGGAAGTGGATGTAAACAAATGTCTTCTAAGGATTAAAAATGAAACCTGTTCCTTTTTGTAATCCTCTTAGTTCACAATTTTAATAATTAAAATGAAATATGTTTTCATTCATAAGGTCTCGTCTATTCAGCTGTAATAATGCTCAAAAGCTTTATTTTTGCTTACATTACACTATGACTAATTCTGATCCAATCCTGGCTATATTTGGGAAGATGACTTGAAGAATGTGAAACATTCCTTTCTTGAGATCTTTCCCCTCACTGTTTGCTTAAATCAGCGGTTCTCAACCTATGGGTCGCGACCCCATTTGATCGATCATTTCACGGGGGTCGCCAAGCAAGGCTGTCTGCCATTTTTTTCCCCTTTTCCGGTGGGTGCCTTACCTCCCTTGAGCTGGGCCAGCTGGTGGTCGGCCTGCTCCGTCTCTGCCGCTTGCCAGCTATGCCTCGGCCGGCGCAGGGGGCGGAACCACGCATGTGCGGCGCTCCCAGGCAGGGAAAGTCCTCGACTTACGACTGGTTGGGTAGTCCTCGACTTACGACCGGTTTAGTCCTCGACTTACGACCGGTTTAGTCCTTGACTTACGATCGGTTTAGTCCTCGACTTACGACCGGTTGGGGGTCGCGGCATTAAAAAGGTTGAGAACCACTGGCTTAAATCATATAAAAGATGATGTTCTGTAGATCTGTTTTCCATGTTGGAAGAGGAGCTTGTTCTTGTAGCTCAGATACATACACTTGATTGGCTTGGGCTGGTGATGTTATCAAGCACCTGTCATTCTGGCAATCCTTGTAGTTTGCTGTTGGCACTACTGTTCTTACCTCTAGCTGCACAATGCAATACTGACATTCTTACAACTATGAGGCATAAAAGCATATCCTTAGGCATACTGGTTCAAAAGTAATAAGGTGAAGCATATTTTATTCAAATTTAATCAATGGAATAAAATCAAATTGTTTAATCTTTTCTTTCACTTGGCCCTACCCACTTTATGGAATGCAAGTCACAGCACATCATTCAAGTATAATTCAGTTCTGTGCCTGAGACTCCCTCCACATTCAGTATGTCTCTAAATACTATTCATCAGAGAACAAGTGGAGAAGAAGTATAACCTTGGGCTTTGTGGGGGCGGGGAACACCCCTTATGTATTTACATTTGACCTCTATGGGAGAGGTTTAAAGGGATTTGGCATTCCTGTTGTAAATGTTCCTACTTGGAAGCACTGGGAGGCACTGTCTCAGTTTCAGATAACTGATGCATTAAATTACACCATTCGGAATCTGAAGTCTATGCCTTGTATAATCTTTAGGAGACAGCCCAAGGCTATATATAAGTGTTTAAAAACTGCTGAATATTTACAGATTTATTTTCCATCTTCTACAAACAAATCTGTCCACCAATCTGTACTCCTGAATGATCATGATCTGGCACTAAAATTGCCAGCACAATCTGGGGATGGAGATGGAGACCTCAAATAGCATAGTGTGCTTACTTAAACACTGCAATTCTTACTTTCAAAAGCAGTCATACCATATTTGTATATTTTAAATGTTTTGTTGTTTAACTCAATTTCATTGGTTGCTTTATATCCCTTTTTACTCCTTGGACTGTTGCAATCATTGACTTAGATCACTATTTAGATGAAGGGAATGGATTGACAGAAGCAGCTCCTGTATCCACCATTCTGAAAATAATGAGACAACTAACCAAGTCAATTAAAAACCTGCAGTTGTATGCTTTTGTGGGTTATTCAAGAGTAACAGTAACTAAACATGGCAAGTTGTGCAGCTGCAGCTTTTTCATCTTTGGCTATTTTATAGTTGAAACATATTTTGTGAATCCATGACAATGATTTTGTCAGTCTGATCAGTCATCAAATTATGCATGTTCGTATGAGCACGAATTGAATGTTTGGCTCTTCCTTTTCCATCATAACCTACTGCACTCTGCAGGATCACACAACCCCATGGCCTTTGTGGAGAGGGAGGAGGGGGAAATATTTCAAGGGAGGATCAGAATGATGAAAGCAGAGTTGTAGAATCACCCTGCAAGCCCCACCTTTTTTTAACCCATACATTGTTCAAACATATGAAAGACACAACTTGTGGTAGGACACTGTGAGGCTATTTTTGACAGTATCTCTGAAGCCCTTTGCAAGGGTTGAAAAATCACTTTGGGAAAGGGGGCGCTGAAGTTGTATTTCTACCTATCCAGTTGCTTATGCTTAAATCTGAATTGAATACTGATACAGATTTATAGAACAATTCTGTTTCTGTACAAAGAAAATGGCAGCTTAATTGCTTACTTCAGTTAAGAGCAGCTATAGGAAACAAATCTGCAATGTGATCTGAATAATCAAGTTATTAAATACTACCAAATGCACACATATATATATATTTTATACAGATTGGTTTTCAGTGCAGGCTATGCAAAAAAACTTCCAGAATTAGTTTCGAATACTTCCTTTATCCATGAAATATAATTGGGTACTAGAGTATAAGCTCCATATTTTCCGACTTCAGCACAACCTTCTCCCCAGCTGACAATCCCCAAGAGATACCAAGTATTGTGATAAGATACAGCAAAAGGTCCACCGCTATCTCCTTTGCAAGCGTCCTGCCCTTCCGCATCATAGCCTGCACAAAACATGTTGTCCGTAATGACCTTCTTAGTTGACTGCCGACAGGTCTCCATGCTCACAATGGGCAACCTAACTTTCATGAGAAAGCGAATTAACTTACCCTTAGCATGAGTTGCACCCCATCCACTAACTGTTCCATGAGCTACTTCTTCAATCAGCAAAGTAGCTAGGTTAGGACGAGGAAGGCAGATGGGAAGTACATTCTGGGTAAAAATCACATCACTAGTCAATTGGACCAAAGCAATGTCATTGTTGTAGTTCTGTGAGTTATACTGAGGATGTCTCCAGTAGTGCCGTACTCTCACTTTTTGTTCATCTCGTTCTCGCTGATGTTTATCAAAGTCTCCTGAAAAGCAAATGAAAGTGTGAAAACAAACAAAAACCAAGCAGTGCTGACAGTGGAAAACAAGGAAAGTGAGGAAAAAAAAGAATAGCCTTAGATCCAGGTAGAAATACTGCAAGTTGGTTATAGAAATACTGATTCTGTACATTAAAAATGCTTGTAAAGTATGCAGATTTTTTTTCCTCAGACACTTCAAAAACAAGGGGGCTTCTAGATGAAGCTGTGCAACTGCCCTACCTCGTTTAGAGAACTCTATGGGAAATTGAAATGACATTGTCTTCTATTGGTAACATTATCATTGTTCTTCCACTGGTGCTTCCAATTTTTTACTAATTTTTTTAAAGGAAGAATACAGTATATACTACCATTCGACTATTAGCCCAAGATGTTGGCCTAGCCCTAGAACAAGCCAGGTGATTTCTCTGAAATAATATATGAAAACTGAAAAAGTAGAATGACTGTGGCAAAAGAAGGCAAAGATAGTACCAATAGTAATAGGAGCCTTGGGAACAATCCCAAAACATCTGGAGCACCACTTGAACACCATCAGCCTTGACAAAATTACCATCAGTCAATTGCAAAAGGCAGCTTTACTTGGAACAGTTTATATCCAGCGATGGTATCTTTAACACCAAAGTCTCTGAGAGTGACTTGGGCAGCCATGTAAATTTTGATAAATAAATAAACTCACCATAAAACAACATCTGCCTATCTCTAGTCCTTGGAAAGGACTCGCTAGGTAGATTAAAAATCAAATCCTGTCTACGTTTCTGGCCAACTGTGATCAACCATAATAATCCAGTCAAAATATTTGGCTGATTGTGTGACCAACCATAATAATTTATTAAATGTATACGTTGCCCAATTCCCAGAGACTTAGGGAAGTTTACAATTGTTAAACATTTAAAAACAAAGAACAATATAAAAACCATCAAAACAGAAGTAAACAAAAAAAATGATAATAATGAAAATAAACCCAGACGGGAACAAAAAGAAAGAAAAAGGCATTAAAGTAGCAGTTCTCTCCAAAGGCCTGAACAAATCAGGTGATCTGGTAATCAAGTACACCTCCATAATATATTCAGGCTGGTAAATAATCAGGATACAGTATCATTTTATAAAATTAATTAAACGATATCAATGTTTCTCAATCTCAGCCTTAAGATGTGTTGACTTTCTGGATGAACAATTCTGGGAGTTGAAGTGTTGAGGCTGAGAAACACTGAGGTATATGTTTGCTTACTTCTGTAATTGCGAAGGTTAGAAATTCATTCATTTGTGATACCAGGACAGGAGAGTCTACTGCTTCTTCTAGAATACCTTGTGGGAAAAATCAAGCATTACAACACTGTAATTTTGTTTGTGTCTTTCTACAACTTACCCACTGTAACTTGATGTGGGGTAATGGTATCAAAACAGTGGGCTGCAGTAAGTACCCACTGACTACTGATCAAGCTGCCCCCACAAAAACCGTAACCTCTATTATTTTGAATCAGTACCTAGGAAGAAAAAGAATAATCCATTGTTCTCTAACCCCAGCTGCAAATCTGTATGAATTTCCTACATTCACATTTCAATTATTTAGCATTGAATCAGAGGTTAATTGTCATACACAAAACTACAGTGATTTGAAGCAACACATTTCTTCATATGCCCAGAACAGTATTGCAAGCTTCCTTTTTCCAATATTTATACAAAAGGACAACATATACTGTACAGCCAGTTGTCCTCCCTTGGGAAGCAAAGGTATCATTTAAGGACATATCTGGACAAATTTTAGAGGTCCTACTGGCACTGTGCTTGTTGAAAGGAGATGTTCATGGCCTGAAGCTCCAAGCCTACCTGCAATTCTCCACAGCCTTAAGGAGGCCCAGATCTCTGCAAAAGATGCTGCTAAATATCTTGAATAACATAGATGGAGTTAATTATGAACTACTGAGGGTTCCAACTTCTGTGTTCTATCTTTCTTTGCTTTTTGGAATTTATCTCCTAGCTTGCCACTCAGAATTAACTTCCGTTGAAAAGATTGCACCCTGCTGCTTCATAAAGGAACCTCACCCTTCAATTCTAACAATGTAAAATAAGGTTATTTTATCAAACGCTTTAGGGCAGAAGTGTTACCTGCCAAGGACATGCTCCTGGGCGGCAAAAAGATCCCCCAATTATTCTGGGGTCTTCATCTGTGTAGTTGGTGTTTGACCATCTGAGTAAATCCTCTTCTGTGAAATTTCCTTCTAGCTTTTCCATGTCATCTTCAGTTTCTCCTGTGAGATTCAACCATCCTGAGGAAGCCCAACTTGTCTGATTCCAATTGGTCATGTTTTCATGAGCATTTGTTTCCCTTTGCGTGATTCGTCCTCCCTCATAAGAACGTGTGGATCGCTTAATCAGCCCACAAGGGAAGCGATCTGAAATCAGGGAGATTAAACCACTGAGTTTAAGGAAAGTTGCTTAAGCATGTTTTCAGTAGCTTAAACATTAATAGACACATGAAGACTTAGTGCTAATGAAGACAGCACTAAGACTCATCTTAGTACTCTGCAATTCTTCAGATTTGAAGGACAAAAGATGAAAATAGAGCCCATCATCTGCAAATCCTTAAACCAGAAACATATTTCTCAGCAGCTGCATGAGGAGCTGTACACAGTTTATATGAAAAAATAATGATCTTATTTTATGTGCTTTCTTTGTTATTGAGTCATTGAAAAAAATGCATTAAACAGTAATGCACCTTTTTTGTTTATATACTATATTTTTATTCTTTTTTTTACTTTCTCAAGATATGGAAAAATTAGTTAAAATTTCAAAGTAATTTAATATAGTTACAATAAAAATGAATGATTCAATAAGATTTCTAAAATCATAGATTTAAAAGCTACATTTTCTTTCTATTCCCTTTTCCTTTCTTTTTTTAGATTTGTCTTTTATTTTGTATAAAATTCTCAATATATAAATAAATAAATAAATAAATAAATAAATAAAAACCTGTAATCTGTCAAACACTAGGAAAAATCAAAGTATGATTGATGGATCAAAGTACCAATAGCCAGCCAGAATGTGAACATCTAATAATTGCTAGATACCACTGTTAATTGTCTTCTTAACTGTAACAATATTCCATGACAAGATGGATGAAAAACAGTTGGTCAGAGGCGAATATTTTTAGGTTATAAAACAAGAGATGAACCCCTCCCAGTGTTGTTCTGCTCCATAACTGCAATTTTATAACTGCCTTTTGCCTACTAAGTCTCTTGCTATCTTTTCTACATTGGGAAATCTTGTGGAATCAAGGAACAACAAATTAAATTATGGTAAATATCTAATTATGGATTTAGGTAATCTCCCTGTTTGCATTGGTTGGGGAAAATGTCTGATTAGTCTTGGTACCTCTAATTACTTATAAAACTAACTAAATAACATCCCTAAATATATTTAAGTAGATAATCCTGAGCTGCCACTGCTCACTTATGTCAGATGGGAAAAATGAATTCAATATTTAAAGCATTGACCAAGTGTTATTCTACATATAAAGAGGAAATTTGGTCCAATTTTTTTCAACATAATACTTCATGATCTGTGCATCTAAAGTAGACAATATGTTACTCTTCATAACATCAACCCATTTAGGGAAAAGCAGACTGAAAAGGGCTGCTGGAACATTTAGTTTCTAAACCCACATTTTTAAACCAGTAAAATGAGTCATTACCTGAGGGGGTACAACTCTTCCCGTCTTCTTTTAATGTATATCCTGCTGCACAGGAGCAGGTCACATGACGTGAATGTTCGGTATCTTGGCAGTATTGCTCACAATATCCATTTTTGTACCAGCATTCAAATTTCTCTGCATTGAAGACAGGGATGAAGGTCCTTGAGTCATTACTACTTACTCTCTCCAACAGATTATAATCCTATAATAATAGACTATCACTAGTGGGAACCCANGGGACAGAGGTCGACCCCAAGGCCCCTAACTTGTGGGGTGCCACAAGGGTCGGTCCTCTCTCCCCTTTTGTTCAATATTTATGTGAAGCCACTGGGGGAGATCATTCGTGGCTTTGGGGTGGACTTCCATCAGTACGCTGATGATACTCAGCTGTACATTTCCACCCCAGGCCACCCCAATGATGCCCTTGACGTGATGACCCGATGCCTGGAGGCCGTAAGGGTCTGGATGGGGAGGAACAGACTCAGGCTCAACCCTTCCAAGACCGAGTGGCTGTGGCTGCCGGCACCTCGGCATAGTCAGCTGACTCCGTCGCTGACTATAGGGGGCGAAACTTTGGCTCCCTCAGAGAGGGTGCGCAATCTAGGTGTCCTCCTGGACCCACGGCTGACACTGGAAGACCAGTTGGTGGCCGTGGCCAGGGGGGCGTTTTATCAGGTACGCCTGATCTACCAGTTGCGGCCTTTTCTGGACCGGAACGCCTTGCGCACAGTCACCCATGCTCTTGTCACCTCCCGCCTGGACTACTGCAATGCTCTCTACATGGGGCTCCCCTTGAGGAGCACTTGGAGGCTCCAGTTAGTCCAGAATGCAGCCGCGCGGGCGGTGTTGGGAGGGACTCGTCGCTCCCATGTAACGCCGTTACTGCGCGAGCTGCACTGGCTGCGGGTGGCTTTCCGGGTGCGCTTCAAGGTGTTGATTATCATCTTCAAAGCGCTCCATGGCATTGGACCTGGATATCTCCGAGACCGCCTTCTGCCTCAGATTACCTCCCATCGGCCGGTACGCTCCCACAGAGTGGGTCTCCTCAGGGTGCCGTCAGCCAGACAGTGCCGGCTGGCGACTCCCAGGGGGAGGGCCTTCTCGGTTGGAGCTCCCACCCTATGGAACGAACTACCCCCAGAGATCAGGGTGATCCCGGATCTCCCTTCCTTCCGCCGCGCCCTCAAGACATGGCTATTTAAGCTGGCAGGACTGGCCTAAGGGGTATTTTTAGTTGGGTTTTAAAATAATTTTTAAAATAACAAAGGCCAAATTAATATTTCCTTTTAATTATGTTTTAACGGTA